TGGCTGCAGGCAATAATGTTCTTCAGGGAAGCCTGGTTTCTTCTCCTGGTCTTCAGGGAAGCCTGGTCTCTTCTCCTGGTCTTCAGGTTCACAATGATCACAGCAAAGACCATCCCCAGCAGAGCACAGCCCAGCAGTCGACGCCAAACGGATATCTCTCCCCTTCGATCAAGAGGGTTGTAGTTATTGATAAACAGACCATGTTCTTCTGGTCAGAGATGAGAGCACACCAGTATTCCCCACTGTCCTCCAGTGAGAGGTTAGAGAGGACCAGAGAGCGGTAAGGGCGAAATACATTCATTCTGCCCTCCAAATCTTCACGGAATTGTATATACTTATCCATATATCTTGTGTCCAGAATAACATTGCCCACCTTTGTAGTCTTTCTGTACCACATAACCATGTCATACTCTGGGACATAAGAGCTGCATGTGAGGGCAACCTCCCCTCCCTCTGAGAATAACTCTTTGAGGGGCTCAGACTTAGGGCACATCATTAGACAATATGATATGATGACTCTTGATGGCGGCTTCTTCTGGCGATCATAAAACCCTGAGTGGTTGAGCATCAGTGATGGAATGACTAGGGAGTAATTTCCTCACAATCTTCCATCCACAAAATACAATGTCTGCTTCCCTTGATGACTGAGGATTCTCCTCCACCATGTCTTTGTCCCAGGGTTGAAACAGGGAAGCACAGCCTTCTCTCCCACATAATACTGACTATACAGTACGCTGTCTTATAGATCGCTAAGATGGTCTGACTGTAAACACAACGCTGTCCCTCCACTACCAGGCATTAAATGTGAAGTTGGTCATATGGAGAGAGGATCCGTTGGCAGCCAGCAGCACTCGGCCCCTTTCTTCCTCCATGAAGGGCTTTGCGGATTCGTTCATGTCCCAAAAGTGTTTGCAGAGCCATCTGACCGTAAAGTTACCATCCCCCCAGGAATCTCCACACTGGTCTAATTTCACTCCCAAATGAGCATACATATAAACTGATGATACTGCAGACACTGAGGTTGATGCTTTTCTGGAGTTTCACTTTGCCAGATGTCCAGCACTCCGCCCTGTATAGTCCAGTGTCTGACAGAGAGGTTCTGGATCAGGACAGTTGAAATATTATGAACCAATTTCAGTTTCAGTCGATCCCTTAATTCTGCATTCAGTGTGGAATTTTCAGGTGAAGTGTTAGAAGTGTTCCACAAAAGCAGGCTCTCTTCAGCTTCGGATTTAAAGATCAAACTGTTGTCTTTTCCCACATTATTGTAAAAAGCATCATTTTCTCCTTCTGCTTTAATTTAATAGATTTCTTGGACAGCATGGATGGTTCCCATCAGAACAGCCAGTAGAATGTTCAGCTTTGACAGAAGTCATTGTACACACTCTGTCTCTGCTGATGTGTTGTGACAAACCACTAGCTTTATATCTGCTTTTGCTCAGTTATCTTATGCCTCAATGTTGCAATACTGGTGACCCCATGATGTTGAGTGTAATATCTACTCATATCTTTCTCTGAAACGCTGAGGGCCTGACATGTCATTGAAGAGAGAGCAGAGTGCAGTGTTAAAGGTCACTTATAGGTCAAAATGCTGATAGTGGCAAAACCAGAGCCAAATGGTGCTTCGTAAACCATAGTTGCATTATGGGCCTGTCCCTGTCAACTGAAAGTTTCCACTTTCTTTAAACATTTGCCCAACACTTTATTTTAGTCTTACACAAAGAGATTTTGTTTAAGAAGTACACATGAACTATGATTGCATCATGGGACTGTTTCTTGCTTCAGTAGCACGTTTCATTTACATATCTAGAAAAGCCAGTAGCACTTTTCATATACAGTGCATTCGGAAAGTATTCAGACCCCTTGACTTTTTCCACATTTTGTTACGTTACAGCCTTATTCTAAAATGTATTAAATAATGACAAAGCAAAAACAGTTTAGAAATAAACTGAAATACACATTTACATAAGTATTCAGACCCTTTACTCAGTACTTTGTTGAAGAACCTTTGACAGCGATTACAGCCACGAGTCTTCTTGGGTATGACGCTACAAGCGTGGCACACCTGTATTTGGGGAGTTTCTCCCATTCTTCTCTGCATATCACCTCAAGCTCTGTCAGGTTGAATGGGAAGCGTCGCTGCACAGCTATTTTCAGGTCTCTCCAGAAATGTTTGATCGGGTTCAAGTCCGGGCTCTGGCTGGCCCACTCAAGGACATTCAGAGACTTGTCCCAAAGCCACTCCTGCGTTGTTGGCTGTGTGCTTAGGGTCGTTGTCCTGTTGGAAGGTGAATCTTCGCCCCAGTCTGAGATCCTGAGAGCTGTCATAGTTAGCTAAATAACTAGCAAAAAACTAGCCAACTCAGCTAGCGTCAACGTAGCTAGCTAACTAGCCAGCTACTGTAGGCTCAATGACAGGCCAAGGCGAGTGAAAACATTACTTTCCTGAAAGTCAGAAAATGGAAATGTTCGTTCACTAAATAATTAGTTGAAATCCATGCTGTCTATCCAACATTAGCCAAATACTAGAAAGAGAGAACTCCAGCTGCATATCTATAAAACGGCGCCTGGTCTTACTCAGGCTAGCTAGCTAGCACAGCATTAACCCCCATTGTGATGGCTGACAAGCCCGCTTAGAAACCAATCAACAGCTGAGATGAAGGAGGGAGGGAACAGTCTAGGGAACAATTATGTAATGTACTGTATGCAATGCAATGTACTGTATGGCTACAAACAATTGTCTAATAATATAAAGCTAGCAATATGGTAAATTAGTAAAAACAGAGCACACTTTGTTATAATACACCTTTAATTATACCCTTTATTAACATATAAATACAAAGAAAAAACAAACCATTTATGTATTTGACATCCAGGCATGGACTGATGCCACAAACATTGGAAGAGTGACAAAGGTAAAGAACACACTAAAAACAAACTATGCTCCCAAATCACATACAAAACAATTTGACATTGTGTCAAAGCAGTTAATATCAAAACAGATTTTGGTTGGGTGCATTTTTCTCTGTGTCAATCAGTGGAGGCTGCTGAGGGGAGGACGGCTCATAATAATGGCTGGAATGGCGTAAATTGAATGGCATCAAACACATGGAAACCAATTGTTTGATGTTTTTGATACCATTCCACTTATTCCGCTCCAGTCATTACCACAAGCCCATCCTCCCCAATTAAGGTGCCACCAACCTCCTGTGGTGTCAATGTCACTCATTGACACAGAACGTTTTAAACTCATGGTGCATTAGTGTAAATAATTTGACTGCACCAGTTCACAGTCTGACATAACGCTTCATGATGTAAAGTCCGCTGTGCACTATACGGATGGTAAGAATGTCAGTTTTCACTTCCCCCTGATTAATGCAGACAGTTTCCAATTCCGATTCAACCCCAAACCCGTAAACCTAGGGACTTCACGAAGACATAAAGTCCCCATTCTCTCTCAAATAACTCAAGTTCAGCTAAATGGCTAGATCTTCCCTTATGACTCTTTTTTAAATAAATGAAACAGAATTTGACAATATGTACTGTAAATGAAGTGTGATTATTATCAACAGATATTGACAAACTCCACACTGCCTTGGGAATGCAAGGCATAGATATTTACAAATTCAAACTAATTTCTTCCATTAAAATAAAGATACACTGACAGTAGTTCTTTACTCAAAACGGGTAGCAGCATAGACAGGGTTGAGAGTTCATTCATAGATAAAGGTTTGCTTTTCCGCTGGGAATTTTGTCAACTCTATTGATTCTGTTCTCTATAATATACAGCCAGTAGTTCTTATTGATCACCATTGGTGACAAATAAAAGTTACAGCCAGGATAATTTTGCATGTATCAGTCAACACCTAGACTGTACATGATAATGCCAGAGTCTGATTGGAGTAAAATTGATGCAGCTTGGATGTGAAACGGACCAAATACAGACTAAATATCTGTTTTACTAATAACCAAATGTGTATTTTCAAGTTGAAGTTCTCGTACACATACCTTTGTACTTTGTAACAATTAGAGTACAATTGATTTCTTTGTTAAACATTCAAAATCGGTCTGAATCTTTTCATTAAGTCTATAAAGTATAATGTAAGTATATTGCTTGTATAGTAGATAACAAAATAAGGTTAAAGTGGGTATAGTAAAAACAAAAAAATAATTTACAATGAACCTGTTCAATAACACCATCTCTAGATGTTGTAAATAAAACTAATATTTACATTTCTCAACCCCTAAAAATTAGTCAACAATTCAAAGTGTTGTGAGACACTGTGCCTAACTGCCTATTCCTGCGCTTAAGGGTAGGTATTCGTCTACTTTGGACTTCCTGCCATTTCTCTGGCCGGCTGCAGTCAATCAACTTCAGACAGCAAGAGGATGGATTATACTGAGTCCTGGGTCGTGTTAATTAGGCACTAATCTCTCGTGGACAGACGCACGTAACATAACTGGTATCGTAGTGTCTGTCAATGCGATAACAGCGAGGAACTTTGTTCCGGTGTACAGATTTTTTGCCACTGATCATTTGGAGAAATCATGACTTTGCAGGTGTTCACATTTTTCAAATATTGGAAGGTGAGGGGACATTTGGTCAATATACTAGCCCGTAACTTGCAGAGAGGGGTGGGGTCGGGGGGTAGGGGAGCTACTGCCCTGCTTCTGATACTCGTTGTAGTATCTTTTCCCACACGTCTCCCCCCAGATTTTAAAACATTTTCTGTTAGTTGCCCTAATGAACACGATCCAGAATACACTTAAAAACAACTGGCCTGAGGCATTCATGGCACAAACATTTTGACTGAATGATCAAACATAAAATACCCAATAAATATGTGCTTAAAACTTCACTCATAACAGAATGAACCTCAATGGACGGATACCCTAAAAAAGTGCAGAAAAAACAGCCTTTTGAGGCATCTAATCCTCTCCCTGCATCCCTCGTCCACCTCCTCACAATATCTACATATCCTTGACCTCTCACTCTATCCTCAGTGGCTCCTGTGGCCTGCAGTGGGTGATGGGGGCTGTAGTTTCTCAGACTTTCTGTCTTTGGCTTCTGTGTCAGAGGCTGAGTCCGAGTCCTGGGCCTGTTGCTGATTCATCCACATGTCACAGTACAACCCTCCCTTAGCCAGCAGCTCATCATGCCTGGGAGGGAGAAAGTGGAGAATATGTAGTTAAAATGGGGACATACAATCACCATTAACATCATCATCATGTACTTTGCCGACATGTTCCCACATGGGCACTGAATGGTTTTGAGAATAGGACTATAGTGTGAGCAGTGGTGTAAAGTACTTAAGTAAAAATACTTTAAAGGACTACTTAAGTCGTGTTTTGGGGTATCTGTACTTCACTATTTATATTTTTGCCAACTTTTACTTCACTACATTCCTAAAGAAAATAATGCACTTTTTACACCATACATTTTCCCTGACACCCAAAAGTACTCGTTACATTTTGACAGGAAAATGTTCCAATTCACATACTTATCAAGAGAACATCACTGGTCATCCCTACTGCCTCTGATCAGGCGGACTCACTAAACACAAAATGCTTTGTTTGTAAATTATGTCTGAGTGTTGGAATGTGCCACTGGCTATTCCTCAATAAAGAAAAACAAGACAATTGTGCCGTCTGGTTTGCTTAATATAAGGAATTTGACATTTTTACTTTTGATACTTAAGTACATTTTAGCAATTACATTTACTATTGATACTTAAGTATATTTAAAACCAAATACTTTTAGACTTTTACTCAAGTAGTATTTTACTGGGTGACTTTCACTTTTACTTTTATTTTCTATTAAGGTATCTTTACTTTTCAGTACTTTTTCCACCACTGAGTGTGAGAAGCATCATAAACATTGGTCTGTCCCATTTTTGGCGTTTACATACATTCTTTAGATGTTTGTTTCTTGAACAGCATAAAATAATATTTTGATTGGAATAGGCTTGTGGAGTGTGCAACAATAGAACAATCACTCTTTCAACCATTCACTCACCGTCCTCGCTCTGCAATCTGACCGTCACTTAGAACAAGAATCTGGTCGGCGCTGATGATGGTCGACAACCTGAAGACAGACAATTCACAATCAAACTACAGACCAGACAGATCCAAACCATACAAACTTAGCATTAGAGGGGAGAAATGTGTGTGTCCTAATCACAGGAGGTTGGTGGCACCTTAATTGGGGAGGACGGGCTTGTGGTAATGGCTGGAGAGGAATGGTATCCAATACATCATGATGCCATTCCATTCGCTCTGTTCTAGCCATTATTATGAGCCGTCCTCCCCTCAGCAGCCTCCACTGATCCTAATGTACAGTTGCTTGCGAAAGTATTCACCCCCCTTGGCATTTTTCCTATTTTATTGCCTTACAACCTGGAATTAAAATAGATTTTTGTTTGTATCATTTGATTTACACAACATGCCTACCACTTTGAAGAAGCAAAAATATTTTTTATTGTGAAACAAACAAGAAATAAGACAAAAAAAAACCAGAACTATTCACCCCCCCCCAAAGTCAATACTTTGTAGAGCCACCTTTTGCAGCAATTACAGCTAGCCACTGGGATTTTTGCCCATTCTTCAAGGCAAAACTGCTCCAGCTCCTTCAAGTTGGATGGGTTCCGCTGGTGTACAGCAATCTTTAAGTCATACCACAGATTCTCAATTGGATTGAGGTCTGGACTTTGACTAGGCCATTCCAAGACATCTAAATGTTTCCCCTTAAACCACTCGAGTGTTGCTTTAGCAGTATGCTTAGGGTCATTGTCCTGCTGGAAGGTGAACCGTCCCAGTCTCAAATCTCTGGAAGACTGAAACAGGTTTCCCTCAAGAATTTACCTGTATTTAGCGCCATCCATCATTCCTTCAATTCTGACCAGTTTCCCAGTCCCTGCCGATGAAAAACATCCCCACAGCATGATGCTGATGGTGTTCTCGGGGTGATGAGAGGTGTTGGGTTTGCGCCAGACATAGCGTTTTCCTTGTTGGCCAAAAAGCTCAATTTTAGTCTCATCTGACCAGAGTACCTTCTTCCATATGTTTGGGGAGTCTCCCACAGGCCTTTTGGCGAACACCAAACGTGTTTGCTTATTTTTTTCTTTAAGCAATGGCTTTTTTCTGGCCACTCTTCCGTAAAGCCCAGCTCTGTGGAGTGTACGGCTTAAAGTGGTCCTATGGACAGATACTCCAAACTCCACTGTGGAAATTTGCAGCTCCTTCAGGGTTATCTTTGGTCTCTTTGTTGCCTCTGATTAATGCCCTCCTTGCCTGGTCCGTGAGTTTTGGTGGGCGGCCCTCTCTTGGCAGGTTTGTTGTGGTGCCATATTCTTTCCATTTTTTAATAATGGATTTAATGGTGCTACGTGGGATGTTCAAAGTTTTTTATAACCCAACCCTGATCTGTACTTCTCCACAACTTTGTCCCTGACCTGTTTGGAGAGTTCCTTGATCTTCATGGTGGTGCCCCTTGCTTAGTGGTGTTGCAGACTCTGGGGCCTTTCAGAACAGGTGTGTATATATACTGAGATCATGTGACAGATCATGTGACACTTAGATTGCAGACAGGTGGACTTTATTTAACTAATTACGTGACTGCTGAAGGTAATTGGTTGCACCAGATATTATTTAGGGGCTTCATAGCAAAGGGGGTGAATACATATGCATGCACCAGTTTTCCGTTATTGATTTTTTTGAAACAAGTTACTTTTTTCATTTCACTTCACCAATTTGGACTATTTTGTGTATGTCTATTACATGATATCCAAATAAAAATAATTTTAAATTACAGGTTGTAATGCAACAAAATAGGAAAAACGCCAAGGGGGATGATTACTTTTGCAAGGCACTGTATGGGTACCCTCTATCCACCTGAGACCCATCCCTTACCTGTGAGCCACGACGATGGTGGTCCGATTGGAGCACACTTTGGTGAGCGACGCCTGAATGTTGCGCTCCGTCTGTGTGTCTAGAGCAGATGTGGCCTGTGCAGAGGGAAAGTTTTATGAGATAGGACACATGACTAAAATATTCAAGTTCAGTGAACTCGTATTAATCCACTGTAACACAATATGAAAGGGGGATCAGTGGTGTGGGGGCAAACATTGTCCCTCTTCGAATACATCCTTCCTTCCTCTCATCCTTGAAGAAATATCTGATCTGACATGGCTGGACTGGTGAAAGCTAAGTGAAAGAGCTGTTGCTTTCACCTATCAATTTGTGACAGCTCAGCAATAACTTCAAGGAAAGGAGGGAGGAAGTGTGTGTTTTTAAAGTATTTGTCTAGGGGCATCTTCACCCTACACCTATTTGAATAAAGTCATTGACCCTCCTGGTGGCCCTTCCTGAAAGTTTACCTCATCCAGCAGGATGATGTGAGGGGCCTTGAGGATTGTCCGGGCAATAGCCACCCTCTGCTTCTCCCCCCCACTCAGCTTCAGACCCCTCTCGCCCACCTGGGTGTCATATCCTGGGAGGGGGACAGACAGAGACAACACAGAGACAAACGTCACTCATCTCATACAGTAACAATGCACCTGGCAGCTAATGTGTGACCTCTGCAAATATCACCACTTGTTTGAGGAGATTTAGATGTGCATGCCAAAATGCTTCGGCAAATGTGGTTGGCAAATAAAAAACACCTATACAAACCCTTAAAACAACAATAATAATAATAATAATAATAATATGCCATTTAGCAGATGCTTTTATCCAAAGCGACTTACAGTCATGTGTGCATACATTCTTACGTATGGGTGGTCCCGGGGATCGAACCCACTACCCTGGCGTTACAAGCGCCATGCTCTACCAATTGAGCTACACACGACCACAATATTGACACCCATAACATCTGAGATCCCCAGAGATTGGAAAGCTGCCGCGGTCATCCCCCTCTTCAAAAGGGGCTGACACTCTAGATCCAAACTGTTACAGACCTATATCCATCCTGCCCTGCCTTTCGAAAGTTTTTGAAAGCCAAGTTAACAAACAGATCACCGACCATTTCGAATCCCACCGTACCTTCTCCGCTATGCAATCCGGTTTCCGAGCTGGTCATGGGTGCACCTCAACCATGCTCAAGGTCCTAAAATATATTATAACCACGATTGATAATAGACAGTACTGTGCAGCAGTCTTCATCGACCTGGCCAAGGCTTTCGACTCTGTCAAACACCGCATTCTTATTGGCAGACTAAATAGCCTTGGTTTCTCAAATGACTGCCTCGCCTGGTTCACCAACTACTTCTCAGATAGAGTTCAATGTGTCAAATCGGAGGGCCTGTTGTCTGGACCTATGGCAGTCTCTATGGGGGTGCCACAGGGTTCAATTCTTGGGCCGACTCTTTTCTCTGTGTATATCAATGATGTCGCTCTTGCTGCTGGTGACTCTCAGATCCACCTCTACGCAGACGACACCATTTTGTATACATCTGGCCCGTCATTGGACACTGTGTTAACAAACCTCCAAACGAGCTTCAATGCCATACAACACTCCTTCCGTAACCTCCAAACTGCTCTTAAACACTAGTAAAACTAAATGCATGCTCTTCAATCGAACGCTGCTGGCACCCGCCCACCCGACTAGAATCACTACTCTCGACGGGTCTGACCTAGAGTATGTGGACAACTACAAATACCTAGGTGTCTGGTTAGACTGTAAACTCTCCTTCCAGACTCACATCAAGCATCTCCAATCCAAAGTGAAATCTAGAATTGGCTTCCTATTTCTCAACAAAGCCAACTACCTCATCCCCATATTGTTATTTATTTTGCTCATTTGCACTCCAGTATCTCTATTTGCACATCATCTCTTGCACATCTATCATTCCAGTGTTAATACTAATTGTAATTATTTTGCACTATGGCCTATTTATTGCCTTACCTCCATAACTTGCTACATTTGCACACACTGTATATATATTTTCTGTGGTATTTTTGACTTTATGTTTTGTTTTACCCCATATGTAACTCTGTGTTGTTGTTTTTATCGCACTGCTTTGCTTTATCTTGGCCAGGTCGCAGTTGTAAATGAGAACTTGTTTTCAACTGGCTTACCTGGTTAAATAAAAGGTGAAAAATAAAAATAAAAAAAATAAGCCAACTTCAGGTTAACTACAGACAGAAATATAATGGCAACATACAGCTCTGTTTTCCAGTTACAGATTAAGCCTAATCCTGGACTCAATGGAGAATCTCCATTTAAAAAGTGTTTTAGTCTAGGACGAGGCTTAATCGGTGTCCGGGAAACCGTCAAAAGAGACGGTGGTATTTCCGTACCTTCTGGGAACGTCTGGATCTTCTCATGAATGTCTGCGGCGATAGCCGCCTCCTCCACTTCGTGGTCGCTGGCGGAGACGCGCCCGTAGCGGATGTTGTCACGGATGTTGTCGTTGAAGAGGACCGTGTCCTGGGGCACCACACCGATGTGGGCACGCAGAGACACCTGCTTAACCTGCACCCAGATACCAAGAGGCTCAGAATACACTATATTAATACAGGGTCAAGCTCATTAGGACATGCAATGGGAAAACGTTTTCAATCGTCCAGATAATAATTGTTTTTTCTTAATTTGGTGCCTAATGAACACGACCCAGGTGTATCATATTAACAATACTGTATACCTCAACCAGTAGACCACCAACGTATAACAAACCTAATGTTATATACAGTGTTAGGTTCTAACGAATACACAAAAAATGCACGGACAACTACGGAAAGCTCAAACCAAGTTTATTCGCCCAATGGGTCAGACAGCTGCACAGACAAAAAACATGTTCCAACCAACACATTTACAGTGAGGGAAAAACGTATTTGATCCCCTGCTGATTTTGTACGTTTGCCCACTGACAAAGAAATGACCAGTCTATAATTTTAATGGTAGGTGTATTTGAACAGTGAGAGACAGAATAACAACAAAAACATCCAGAAAAACGCATGTCAAAAATGTTATAAATTGATTTGCATTTTAATGAGGGAAATAAGTATTTGACCCCCTCTCAATCAGAAAGATTTCTGGCTCCCAGGTGTCTTTTATACAGGTAACGAGCTGAGATTAGGAGCACACTCTTAAAGGGAGTGCTCCTAATCTCAGTTTGTTACCTGTATAAAAGACACCTGTCCACAGAAGCAATCAATCAGATTCCAAACTCTCCACCATGGCCACGACCAAAGAGCTCTCCAAGGATGTCAGGGACAAGATTGTACACCTACACAAGGCTGGAATGGGCTACAAGACCTTCGCCAAAGCAGCTTGGTGAGAAGGTGACAACAGTTGGTGCGATTATTCGCAAATGGAAGAAACACAAAATAACTGTCAATCTCCATCGGCCTGGGGCTCCATGCAAGATCTCACCTCGTGGAGTTGCAATGATCATGAGAACGGTGAGGAATCAGCCCAAAACTACACGGGAGGATCTTGTCAATGATCTCAAGGCAGCTGGGACCATAGTCACCAAGAAAACAATTGGTAAGACACTACACCGTGAAGGACTGAAATCCTGCAGCGCCCGCAAGGTCCCCCTGCTCAAGAAAGCACATATACAGGGCCGTCTGAAGTTTGCCAATGAACATCTGAATGATTCAGAGGAGAAATGGGTGAAAGTGTTGTGGTCAGATGAGACCAAAATCGAGCTCTTTGGCATCAACTCAACTCGCGGTGTTTGGAGGAGGAGAAATGCTGCCTATGACCCCAAGAACACCATCCCCACCGTCAAACATGGAGGTGGAAACATTATGCTTTGGGGGTGTTTTTCTGCTAAGGGGACAGGACAACTTCACCTCATCAAAGGGACGATGGACGGGGCCATGTACCGTCAAATCTTGGGTGAGAACCTCCTTCCCTCAGCCAGGGCATTGAAAATGGGTCGTGGATGGGTATTCCAGTATGACAATGACCCAAAACACACAGCCAAGGCAACAAAAGAGTGGCTCAAGAAGAAGCACATTAAGGTCCTGGAGTGGCCTAGCCAGTCTCCAGACCTTAATCCCATAGAAAATCTGTGGAGGGAGCTGAAGGTTCGAGTTGCCAAATGTCAGCCTCGAAACCTTAATGACTTGGAGAAGATCTGCAAAGAGGAGTGGAACAAAATCCCTACTGAGATGTGTGCAAACCTGGTGGCCAACTACAAGAAACGTCTGACCTCTGTGATTGCCAACAAGGGTTTTGCCATCAAGTACTAAGTCATGTTTTGCAGAGGGGTCAAATACTTATTTCCCTCATTAAAATGCAAATCAATTTATAACATTTTTGACATGCGTTTTTCTGGATTTTGTTGTTGTTATTCTGTCTCTCACTGTTCAAATAAACCTACCATTAAAATTAGACTGATCATGTCTTTGTCAGTGGGCAAACGTACAAAATCAGCAGGGGATCAAATACTTTTTCCCCTCACTGTATATATACTCCAATTTAGGTGAACTCCTCCTTCGCTCTAAACATTACATCTTTATTGCTAGGCAGGAAGTTAAGTGATGTGGGTAATAAACTGTTCCTTTACTCAGTACATTCCAAAGCCCCCTGGCTCCTATCCAACCTTAATTGACTCCACCATATACATTCCTCCTACAGATAACCTTTAACCAGACTATGGCACTCCTCCTTTCTAAAGGATAACTGATGATTAACAATATTTCAAGTTTAGAAGTCAGAATCCATCAACAGCATGTGCTAACAAGGCAGTTTGTCTGGGAACTATTTTCTTGCAACTGGGTAAATTACTCACCTTAGAGATGTCCTGGCCATCGATGCTGATGCATCCCCCCTGGACGTCATAGAAACGGAAGAGCAGGCGAAGGATGGTGCTCTTACCACACCCTGACGGGCCAACCTAGGGATGTCAACACAAACGCACAAACTGTTGAGAAGCAAGAAACATCTGTACTACACATGGTCCAGACACAAACCATCACATGACTGATAGAGAAATCAAACACTGCTCAAGTGTGCGTAACCTCTGGGTAATGCTTGGAAGCTTGGAATTCAATCTTACCAATGCAACAGTCTGGCCTGGCTGCACAGTGAATGATACGTTCTTAAGGATCTCCTTCCTTAAAAAAACACACAGAAGCACAAAATATATATTTAATCAAAGGAGAACGCTGGAACTACCACAACTATGATTATTCATCAAACTGTTTCTGAATCAGTATCCGTGTATAGCTTACACACAACTCATCAGTACAAACAAGACCTAAATATAAATTTAAAAAAAATCTTAGGACTTACCCATCAATGTAATTAAAGTACACATTCTCAAACTCCACTTTTCCCAGTTTATAAAGAAGGTTCCCTGCATTCACCACATCCTTCACCTGAAGAGAAATCAAGATAAAGCACATAAAAATATATAAATTACAGCAAAATAAATGTTTAAAGTGATATAAAACAAAATTAGCTAGTTGTGCAAGACATTTTATAGATAAAAGGATAAGTAGTGTAGTGTATAGTTCTCCTTCGAGAAAACAAAAGCTGATTCAAAGGGATTTTAAAACACTTCCGTGCTACCTGCCGCAAGGATAATATTGTGCATCCTCTGTCGAAGTAGGTAATCGAGGATGGGAGAAGACTACCTACTTACAAATTGGCACTTCTCGATCACTCAACGGTTTATGGGTCACGGAGGACGGAGGAGTCAAGGAGAGGACAGACTTTTGCCCAATTGAAAAGCTCCCATACACACCAAAAAGCTGGTCATTGACAACCAATTTCAAAATTACCTCCTCTTCCTCTGTGAAGAGCTTAAACATGCTCTCCATGTCGATAAAGGAGTTCTGGATCATTCTGTGGAGGATGAGAACATATGTATTATACAGAGCCCATGTTGTGCATTATGGGTACTGTAGTACATTATAATATAAACAACGCCTCTCATAGATGTGTCAATAGTCTAGCTTCATTTGCTTGTGTCTTTCCTGATCTAGTAAGACAATGTGGAAGCAATCGGGTGGAAACATATACAGTCCATTTAGCTATAAGTGATAGACATAAGAGACTAGGGAAGGATGCCAGGAAGTAGAATTGAAACCCAGCCCATAACAACTCTCACCTGTAGTAGGTTCCAAACCAGTTGAGAGGGGTGTAGAGCTGGATGATGTAGGTGCCAAAGAGGACAAAGTCTCCAACCTGGAAATAGAGTGCATTAGCCTGGTTAAACATGCCTGAACACTTGGCTCACTATTGTTTCATTCCATTCAGTTTGGTTTAACCAGGCTACGATTCACAGCAGCTGACTTGAATGTACAGTCGTGGTCAAACGTTTTGAGAATGACACAAGTATTGGTCTTCACAAAGTTCGCTGCTTCAGTGTTATGAGATATTTTTGTCAGATGTTACTATGGTATACTGAAGTATAATTACAAGCATTCCGTAAGTGTCAAAGGTTTTTATTGACAATTACATTAAGTTTATGCAAAGAGTCAATATTTGCAGTGTTGACCCTTCTTTTTCAAGACCTCTGCAATCCGCCCGGGCATGCTGTCAATTAACTTCTGGGCCACATCCTGACTGATGGCAGCCCATTCTTGCATAATCAACGCTTGGAGTTTGTCAGAATTTGTGGGTTTTTGTTTGTCCACCCGCCTGTTGAGGATCGACCACAAGTTCTCAATGGGATTAAGGTCTGGGGAGTTTCCTGGCCATGGACCCAAAATGTCAATGTTTTGTTCCCCGAGCCACTTAGTTATCACTTTTGCCTTATGGCAAGGTGCTCCATCATGCTGGAAAAGGCATTGGTCGTCACCAAACTGTTCTTGGATGGTTGGGAGAAGTTGCTCTCGGAGGATGTGTTGGTACCATTCTTTATTCATGGCTGTGTTCTTAGGCAAATTTGTGAGTGAGCCCACTCCCTTGGCTGAGAAGCAACCCCACACATGAATGGTCTCAGGATGCTTTACTGTTGGCATGACACAGGACTGATGGTAGTGCTCACCTTGTCTTCTCCGGACAAGGTGTTTTCCGGATGCCCCAAACAATCAGAAAGGTGATTCATCAGAGAAAATGACTTTAACCCAGGCCTCAGCAGTCCAATCCCTGTACCTTTTGCAGAATATCAGTCTGTCCCTGATGTTTTTCCTGGAGGGAAGTGGGTTCTTTGCTGCCCTTCTTGACACCAGGCCATCCTCCAAAAGTCTTCGCCTCACTGTGCGTGCAGATGCACTCACATCTGCCGGCTGCCATTCCTGAGCAAGCTCTGCACTGGTGGTGCCCCGATCCCGCAGCTGAATCAACTTTAGGAGACGGTCCTGGCGCTTGCTGGACTTTCTTGGGCGACCTGACGCCTTCTTCACAACAATTGAACGTCTCTCCTTGAAGTTCTTGATGATCCGATAAATGGTTGATTTAGGTGCAATCTTACTAGCAGCAATATCCTTGCCTGTGAAGCCCTTTTTGTGCAAAGCAATGATGACGGCACGTATTTCCTTGCAGGTAACCATGGTTAACAGAGGAAGAACAATGATTTCAAGCACCACCCTCCTTTTAAAGCTTCCAGTCTGTTATTCTAACTCAATCAGCATGACAGAGTGATCTCCAGCCTTGTCCTCGTCAACACTCTCACCTGTGTTAACGAGAGAATCACTGACATGATGGCAGCTGGTCCTTTTGTGGCAGGGCTGAAATGCAGTGGAAATGTTTTTTGGGGATTAAATTCATTTTCATGGCAAAGAGGGACTTTGCAATTAATTGCAATTCATCTGATCACTCTTCATGACATTCTGGAGTATATGCAAATTGCCACCATCAAAACTGAGGCAGCAGTTCTCAAAACTTTTGACCACGACTGTACAGTACCAGTCAAAAGTTTGGACACACCTACTCATTCAAGGCTTTTTCTTTATTTTTGTGGTCCTCTGTAGCTCAGCTGGTAGAGCACGGCGCTTGTAACGCCAAGGTAGTGGGTTCGATCCCCGGGACCACCCATACACAAAAAAATGTATGCACGCATGACTGTAAGTCGCTTTGGATAAAAGCGTCTGCTAAATGGCATATTATTATTATTATTATTTACTATTTTCTACATTGTAGAATAATAGTGAAGACATCAAAACTATGAAATAACACATACGGAATCATGTAGTAACCAAGAAATTGTTAAACAAATCAAAATATATTTTACATTTGAGATTCTTCAAATAGCAACCCTTTGCCTTGATGACAGCTTTGCACACTCTTGGCATTCTCTCAACCAGCTTCACCTGGAATGCTATTCCAACAGTATTGAAGGAGTTCCCACATATGCTGAGCATGATTTTTAAGCAATTAATTTGCATTTTATTGCATGACATAAGTATTTGATACATCAGAAAAGCAGAACTTAATATTTGGTACAGAAAGCTTTGTTTGCAATTACAGAGATCATACGTTTCCTGTAAGTCTTGACCAGGTTTGCACACACTGCAGCAGAGATTTTGGCCCACTTCTCCATACAGACCTTCTCCAGATCCTTCAGGTTTCGGGGCTGTCGCTGGGCAATACGGACTTTCAGCTCCCTCCAAAGATTTTCTATTGGGTTCAGGTCTGGAGACTGGCTAGGCCACTCCAGGACCTTGAGATGCTTCTTACGGAGCCACTCCTTAGTTGCCCTGGCTGTGTGTTTCGGGTCGTTGTCATGCTGGAAGACCCAGCCACGACCCATCTTCAATGCTCTTACTGAGGGAAGGAGGTTGTTGGCCAAGATCTCGCGATACATGGCCCCATCCATCCTCCCCTCAATACGGTGCAGTCGTCCTGTCCCCTTTACAGAAAAGCATCCCCAAATAATGATGTTTCCACCTCCATGCTTCACTGTTGGGATGGTGTTCTTGGGGTTGTACTCATCCTTCTTCTTCCTCCAAACACAGCAAGTGGAGTTTAGACCAAAAAGCTATATTTTTGTCTCATCAGACCACATGACTTTCTCCCATTCCTCCTCTGGATCATCCAGATGGTCATTTGCAAACTTCAGACGGGCCTGGACATGCGCTGGCTTGAGCAGGGGGACCTTGCGTGCGCTGCAGGATTTTAATCCATGATGGCGTAGTGTGTTACTAATGGTTTTCTTTGAGACTGTGGTCCCAGCTCTCTTCAGGTCATTGACCAGGTCCTGCCGTGTAGTTCTGGGCTGATCCCTCACCTTCCTCATGATCATTGATGCCCCACGAGGTGAGATCTTGCATGGAGCCCCAGACCGAGGGTGATTGACCGTCATCTTGAACTTCTTCCATTTTCTAATAATTGCGCCAACAGTTGTTGCCTTCTCACCAAGCTGCTTGCCTATTGTCCTGTAGCCCATCCCAGCCTTGTGCAGGTCTACAATTGAATCCCTGATGTCCTTACACAGCTCTCTGGTCTTGGCTATTGTGGAGAGGTTGGAGTCTGTTTGATTGAGTGTGTGGACAGGTGTCTTTTATACAGGTAATGAGTTCAAACAGGTGCAGTTAATACAGGTAATGAGTGGAGAACAGGAGGGCTTCTTAAAGAAAAACTAACAGGTCTGTGAGAGCCGGAATTCTTACTGGTTGGTAGGTGATCAAATACTTATGTCATGCAATAAAATGCAAATGAATTACTTAAAAATCATACAAATGTGATTTTCTGGATTTTTGTTTTAGATTCTGTCTCTCACAGTTGAAGTGTACCTATGATAAAAATTACAGACCTCTACATGCTTTGTAAGTAGGAAAACCTGCAAAATCGAGTTATTTCCTCTTCTGGCGCACAGCTTCAGGATAGTCCTCGTTGAGAAAGATATACATTCCTCTCAAGTTCTTGGCTCTTTCCAGAACAGCTACCTTGTCGTTGAACCTCAGGAACTTGACCACTATCGGCCTGGGCCTGTCACCTGGGCCGGTGGTGGGTTTTCCAGTCCTGTGGGCGCGCTCCACCTCAATCTTCCGCCGGTTTTAGTCTTTTGTCATGGTAGCTAGCAACGTAGGTTACGCTGTTACTCCTCGCAGTTCCAGACAGGGCAGGTCACGGGGATGATTGAAAACAACAAACAGCAGGGATCTAGACAGCCACAAACCCGGAACAATCTGCAGTCCCAGCCACAATGGCTAACCGTGTCGCGGGCTGCGTTCAAGCCCTCAAGAAAACCCAGCTAGCTTGATATGCTGCTAGCGAGCAGCTAGGCTAGCTGCAACGCCAAATAGTGCCTCAGACCCGTCCTTGATCGGCAGGATCACTGGACAGAGACTAGCAATAACAGCAACTGATGCCAACTGTGTCGCGGGATCCAAACTAAAAAGTTAGCTAGCTACTATGAACTTTGTATTTGTATTGATTGCTTTTGTCTGCAAGGCAAGCTGCAAATAATTTACTTATTAGAGTACAATAAAGTTTTCTAATCTAATGTAGGACAAAACAACGTAGCCCTAGCATAGAAGATAGAAAAGTGGATGAGCAGAGAGAGTTTGAGGTGGGCCAATAGGGCTTTTTACACTACTGAGCCAAACTAAGCTGCACTGGTCAGGTTAGGCATCCAGACATTCACCATAAGGACAATAGTCGGCTCAATAGTGTGAAAAGGGTAGGATAATGAGTATCTAGGCCTTTAACAGGGAACTTTTACAACTTCATGTTAAATGGTTTCTCACCCTGAAAGTGGCTCTTTAACAAAATCCAAACATGGATTATAGTTTGTCCTGGCTCATAGACTATTGTCAGAGTGAGGAACCATCTAACATTAATTTGTAAAATACTAAACTTCCCCTTTAAGCTAGTAAGGGCTCCGAGCTCAGTACCTTAAACTTGCCGTCCTGGACAAAGTAGGCACAGAGCAGTGACCCGGCCAGTAGGCCTGAGCCGATGATCAGGTTCTGGGTCTGGTTCAGGAAGGCTAGAGAGGCTTGTGTCTTCCATTCTGAGATCTAGGACGGGAGAGGACAGACAGACAAACAGGCAGCAAACGTAACATTACAATCAATAGAGTTATAGCCTGGTCCAAGATCTGTTTGTGCTGTCTGTTTGCACTGCTGAACAGACCTAGAACCAGGCTAATAGAGATGAAAAAGTTAAAGCAGTTTCTGCTGGTTGCAGTTCTAAAATCCTAGAACATCATCAATGATGGCAAGCTCTATTTAACTATTTTATTTTTTTATTTTTTTGTCATTTAGCAGACGCTCTTATCCAGAGCGACTTACAGGAGCAATTAGGGTTAAGTGCCTTGCTCAAGGGCACATCGACAGATTTTTCACCTAGTCGGCTCGGGGATTAGAACCAGCGACCTTTCGGTTACTGGCACAACGCTCTTACCCACTAAGCTACCTGCCGCCCAACTATGCATCTCAGATGGTCAAACACATTTCGTATATATCTATTAATCCTGCTACTGGTCACTATTACTCCTGTTTACATGTATATATTATCATTAGTATATTACCATATTTCTGCTACAATAACTTTTCAGCCCTGTTTACATGTACTTCAGAAAGTATTCACACACCTTGACTTTTTCCACATTTTGTTGTGTTACAGCCTGAATTTAAAATGGATAAAATTGTGATTTTTGTCGCTGGCCTACACACAATACCCCATAATGTCAAAGTGGAATAATAATTTTTGAAATGTTTACAAATTAATAAAAAATGAAAAGCTGAAATGTCTTGCGTCAATAAGTATTTAACCCCTTTGTAAAGTCTAAATAAGTTCAGGAGTAAAAATGGGCTTAAAAAGTCACACAAGTTGCATGGACTCACTCTGTGTGCAATAAGTGTTTAACATGATTTTTGAATGACAACCTCATCGCTGTACTCCACACATACAATTATCTGTAAGGTCCCTCAGTCGAGCAGTGAATTTCAAACACAAATTCAAACGCAAAGACCAAGGAGATTTTCCAATGTCTCGCAAAGAAAAATAAAAAATAGCTATTAACTACACTTTGGATGGTGTATCAATACACCAAGTCACTACAAAAATACAGGCATCCTTCCTAACTCAGTTGCCCGAGGAGGGAAACCGCTCAGGGATTTCACCATGGGGCCAATGGTGACTTTAAAACAGTTACAGAGTTTAATGGCTGTGATAGGAGAAAACTGAGGATGGATCGACAACATTCTAGTTACTCCACAATACTAATCTAATTGACAAAGTGAAATGAAGGAAGCCTGTACAGAATAAAAATATTCCAAAACATGCATCCTGTTTCCAACAAGGCACTAAAGTAATACTGCAAAACATCTGGCAAAGCAATTAACTGAGCACCGCATCTCTCCATATTTTCAAGCATAGTGGTGGCTGAATCATGTTATTGGTATGCTTGTAATCGTTAAGGACTGGGGTGTTTTTCAGGATCAAAAAAATTAATGGAATGGAACTAAGCACAGGCAAAATCCTTGAGCAAAACCTGGTTCAGTCTGCTTTCCACCAGACACTGGGAGATACATTTACATTTTACATTTTAGTCATTTAGCAGATGCTCTTATCCAGAGCGACTTACAGGAGCAATTAGGGTTAAGTGCCTTGCTTAAGGGCACTTCGACAGATTTTTCACCTAGTCGGCTCGGGGATTAGAACCAGCGACCTTTCGGTTACTGGCACAACGCTCTTACCCACTAAGCTACCTGCCGCCCTGATGAATTCACTTTTCAGCAGGACAATAACCTAAAACACAAAGCCAAATCTACACTGGAGTTACTTACCAAGAAGACAGTGAATGTTCCTGAGTAGCTGAGATACAGTTTTGACTATGGTTCCAGTTAAATCTATGGCAAGACCTGAAAATAGTTGTCTAGCAATGATCAACAACCAATTTGACAGAGCTTGAAGAATAATACTTTTTTAAAGAATAAATGGGCAAATGTTGCACAATCCAGGTGTGGAAGGTTCTTAGAGACTTAACCAAAAAGACTCACAGCTGTAATCACTGCCAAAAGTGCTCCTACAAAGAATTGACTGGGTGTGAATACTTATGTAAATTAGATATTTCTGTATTTCATTTTCAATACATTTGTAAAAATGTCTAAAAACATGTTTTCATTTTGTCATTATGGGGTATTGTGTGAGATGTAAATTAGATTTCTGTATTTAATTTTCTATAAATTCGCAAATATTTAAAAACATGTTTTTTTTTACTTTGTCATTATGGGGTATTATGTGTGTTGATGGTTGAGAAAAAAAATCGATTTAAATCCATTTTTAATTCAGGCTGTACAAACAAAATGTGGATTAAGTCAAGGGGTATGACTACTTTCTGAAGGCACTGTGTATCCATCCGCCTGTGACGCCTACTGACCTCTTGCACACACATACTAACACTAATACCCACACACTTACATACACTCACCACCACGCACACACCCACATGCTGCTGGCATCCTGTTTACTATTACATTATTATTTATCCTGCTACCAGTCACTTTCTCCTAATCCCTGCCTACATGTACATATCTACCTCAAATACTCCAGTATCCCTGCACATTGTACATTTACCCTGTATATAGCTTCCTCTCTTATTTGTCATGTTATTATATGTATTTTTCTTATTAGTTACACTTTTTTGATAGGGCTTGCAAGTTAACTAAATGAGCCCCACAGTAATGCCGGCGTGATTTAGGACTTCTAACTCATTTTATAGATTGTTTGTTTGAGCTACAGACTTCTGGGTTGTAACATTGGATTTGTCTATTTCTTCTGCATCCATTAGCCTGTATGACGAACAGGGATTGAGCTAGAGCGGTTTTTGTGAGACAAGGGTGGATCTTGAAGGGGACCAGGGCAGGGTTTTTAAACAAATACATCTGTAGAGTCCGAATGGTTTGAGCTACAAACTATTAAAAGCTATATATGAAAAGCCGAGACTCCCACAAACACTCACAAGATACACAAGAGTCATTAGAAGGTAAGGGGTTCTTCTACATAGAAGATCATTGGAAATCCCAAGACATAATATGGTAATAAGCTCACATAGTTGCTGTCACAAACTCCACACAGTTGTCACTGACTAGTTGGATATTCATTTCCCAAAGAACAAAACACTTCTGTAAATTCATTTTTATCAGGTTTTTGCTTTGGCTGGACTTGTTTTTTTAATTTACATTTGTCAATAAAACTCATGAATGCAACTGTTTATGTTAAATTGTTTTGTATTCTACTTGTAGCCTTGGTTGTCCTGAAAAGAAAACAGTAAAACACTTCCTTGTGAGGCTAAATATAAAAGGCTGGACAGATAAATGAAAGTCAGATAAATGAAAAGCCGATTTTTGCTGGGGTCTCGGGACTGTGCATGTGACAAATATAATGTGAAACTTGAATTTACCTGAATAACCAAAGCAAGCACTCTGGTGTAACTTTAAACAGATCTACATTCTCAACTTTTCAGCGTTTGGCATCTATGGTCTAGATTACCTGATACTTCAGGATGGCGTCCTCAAAACGGTTCACCTCGTAATTCTCTGCGTTGTAGTACTTCACCTGTTGGAAAAACATTACAATCGCAGCCATGAAGCAACTTTGAAGCTGCAGAAATGCAATATGTTTGTGGGCAGCTTCATGTGCCACCATGGCAAGTGGGGATTCTGGGTCGTGTTCATTAGGCATCAAACAGACAAAACATTTTTAGTTTCTCGTTGAATAATGTTTTTAAACATTTTCTGTTGCGTGCCCTAATGAAGACAATCCAAGTATTGAGGTTAAAGGTCAATGGGACCGTCTCGGTACCGTCTCAAAGTTGAGCAGGGAGTCCACCGCCTTGGACTTGGTGTTGTTGTCCTGGGTGTTCATGTCTCGCCTGTACTTGGTCCTCCATTCCGTGATGATGATGGTAAGGGCTGAAGAGATATATTGATAGACCATTATGAAATACATTGGTGTTACCAGAACTCAGTCGAATGCATATGTAAAATGCTTTCAAGTAGGTGTGCTTGAATTAGCTTGTAGTTGTTTTAATTTACACTTTTGGGACTATTCTATTGGTGCAGCTCAAGTCATTTGAAAGTATTTCACACATATCGGATTATTGTTACTTTATAAAAATAACTAAATTAGCTCTCGAAAAGGAGGCCTTGTACTCACTGAGATAGAGGAACATGCAGACGAATACGATGAGTCCGAACCAGGCGTTGAAGTAGGTGATGAAGTAGATGATGGAGATAACGATATCTGCGATGGTGGGGAAGATGCTGAATACGATGTAGCTGTGGAGAGAAATAGAGGGGTTTACCTCTGAATTCACACACATAAACTCTACTGACTGTCTAGAGGTTAGGATGACACTAAGAAACTAAGACATACTACAGGGGGATCGCAGTTGGGTCACATTACACTGGTTGGTAGTGATGGAAGAAATGGAATGTAGACTACATTTTCGACAATTGAGTAAACCCCTGAGGGAGCAGTCTATCTAAGCTTTGAGAATAAGATAATCAGACCTAGATCAAACATGTATTTTCAGTGTTTCCCCTATATTCATTTAGCACACAGCTGTACATTTCGCTGAAACATGGTAAAGCCCCAAAATTGCCTACCCTGGAAGCCTGTGTTTCAGACATAAGGAAGTGGATGGAGGCAAATATTTTACTTTTAAACTCGGACAAAACAGAGATGCTAGTTCTAGGTCCCAAGAAACAAAGAGATATGCTGTTGGATCTGACAATTAATCTTGATGGCTGTACAGTCGTCTCAAATAAAACTGTGAAGGACCTCAGCGTTACTCTGGACACTGTTCTCTCTTTTGATGAACATATCAAGAATATTTCAAGGACAGCTTTTTTCAATCTTCGTAACATTGCAAAAATCAGACACTTTTTGTCCAAAAATGATGCAGAAAAGCTAATCCATGCTTTTGTCACTTCTAGATTAGACTACTGCAATGCTCTACTCTCCGGCTACCCGGATAAAGCACTAAATAAACTTCAGTTAGTGCTAAATACGGCTGCTAGAATCCTGACTAGAACCTACAAATTTGATCATATTTCTTTAGTGCTAGCCTCTCTACATTAGCTTCCTGTTAAGGCTAGGGCTGATTTCAAGGTTGTACTGCTAACCTACAAAGCATTACATGGCCTTGCTCCTACTTATCTCTCCGATTTGGTCCTGCCGTACATACCTACACATACGCTACGGTCACAAGACGCAGGCCTCCTTATTGTCCCTAGAATTTCTAAGCAAACAGCTGGAGGCAGGGCTTTCTCCTATAGATCTAAATTTTTATGGAATGGTCTGCCTATCCATGTGAGAGACGCAGACTCGGTCTCGACCTTTAAGTCTTTACTGAAGAGTCATCTCTTCAGTAGGTCCTATGATTGAGTGTAGTCTGGCCCAGGGGTGCAAAGTTGAACGGCAAGGCACTGGAGTGACGAACCGCCCTTGCTGTCTCTGCCTGGCCGGCTCCCCTCTCTCCACTGGGATTCTCTGCCTCTGACCCTATTACGGGGGCTGAGTCACTGGCTTACTAGTGCTCTTCCATGCTGTCCCTAGGAGGGGTGCGTCACTTGAGTGGGTTGAGTCACAGACGTGATCTTCCTGTCCGGTTTTGCGCCCCCTTGGGCGGTGGAAGAGATCTTCGTGGGCTATACTCAGCTTTGTCTCAGGGTAGTAAGTTGGTGGTCTGTTGATATCCCTCTAGTGGTGTGGGTTCTGTGCTTTGGCAAAGTGGGTGGGGTTATATCCTGCCTGGTTGGCCCTGTCCGGGGGTATCGTCGGACGGGGCCACAGTGTCCCCTGACGCACCCGTCTCAGTCTCCAGTATCTATGCTGCAATAGTCTATGTGCCGGGGGGCTAGGGTCAGTCTGTTATATCTGGTGTAATTCTCCTGTCTTATCTGGTGTCCTGTGTGAATTTAAGTATGCTCCCTCTAATTCTCTCGCTCTCCCTCCCGGAGGACCTGAGCCCTAGGATCAGGACTACCTGGCCTGATGTCTCCTGGATGTCCCCAGTCCACCTGATCGTGCTGCTGCTCCAGTTTCAACTGTTCTGCCTGCGGCTAGGGAACCCTGATTTATTCACCGGACGTGCTACCTTGTCCCGGACCTGCTGTTTTCGACTCTCTCTACCACATCTGCTGTCTCGACCTCTGAATGCTCGGCTATGAAAAGCCAACTGACATTTACTCCTGAGGTACTGACTGTTGCACCCTCTACAACCACTGTGATTATTATTTGACCCTGCTGGTCATCTATGAACGTTTGATCATCTTGAAGAACAATCTGGCCTTAAACGGCCATGTACTCTTATAATCTCCACCCGGCACAGCCAGAAGAGGAGTGGCCACCCCTCAGAGCCTGGTTCCTCTCTAGGTTTCTTCTTAGGTTTTCGTACGTATTTCCCTATCACACTTTTCATCCTTCTACTAAATATACCTTCCTGCAACCCGCCTCACTCAATGTGGAACGGATTCTATTATTGACTTAACTTTTATCTAGAATCTCCAGTTGAAACTAGCTAGCCAGCTAACTAGCTACTTGCTATTAGCCACCGTTAGCGGTATTCACCCAGAATGGAATAACTGAATCACTGGACATTAACACCGGATCGCAACTAGCTAGCCGCAACCGAATGGATGTTGCTGTTGGCTAATCACCACTGCCCCCGAAGCAAGCACCAGTTAGCCTCGAGCCAGGCCCATATCCCGGCTATCTACCTCTCTGTCTACCGGACGGGAGTAGCCAGCTAACTAGCTACTTGCTATTAGCCACCGTTAGCGGTTTTTCATCATTGTCCGTGGCCTGCACTACCTACCAGCCAGCTCTAGCCTGGACTATTATCGGCCAGTCTGCACTGTCTGCACAGTGCGTTATCGACCCAGAACATATTGGTTTTTCTGTCGGAATCACTGGACCTTTAACACCGGATCATCGCAACTAGCTAGCTGCAACCAAATGGATGTTGTTGTTGGCTAATCAGACTTGAGCTAGCCTTGAGTCAGGCCCATCTCCCGGCTATCTACCTCTCTGTCAACCGGACGGGACCTCCTAGAGTCGACACGGAGCCCCGCCAATCCATCACGAATGGTCTGCCGACGTAATCGTCTGTGGTTTCAACAGGCTTCCCGTTGTGACGACCACGACGATCCATCTGCTAGCCCCGGCCCGCTAGCACACACAAACAACAGCCGTGCTTCCTGCTAGCCTGTGCTGTAGCACCAATTCGAACTGCTCTCGGACTCACATATTGCTGTTCACTGGACCTTATGATCACTCAGCTGCACAGCTGATGCCTGCTGGACTGTTCCTTTACACGGTACCCTGTCCTATTTATCTGTTTAGCCTCAGCCCAAACTTTCATCGCCATTACCAGTTGTTGTCTTAGCTCTCTCGAATAACACCTGTGATTGCTTTATGCCTCTTTCCCATGTCAATATGCCTTGCCTATTGCTGTTCCAGTTAGTTCTTATTATACAATTTCACTGTAGAGTCCCATGTCCCTCTCAAACTGCCTCAAATAGTTCCTTTGTTCCACCCCCCATACACACGGAAACCGGCTCAATCGGTGCCTCCAGTGATGCTATCTCTTTCATTGTTACCCAACGCTTAGGTTTACCTCCACTGTACTCATATCCTTCCATATCCTTGTCTGTACATAATGCCCTGAATCTATTCTACAACGCCCGGAAATCTGCCCCCTTTATTCTCTGTACCCAACGCACTAGAAGACCAGTTCTTAAAGCCTTTAGCCGTATACTTATTCTAGTCCTCCTCTGTTCCTCTTGTGATGTAGAGGTTAACCCAGGCCCTGCAGCCCCCAGTATCACTCCTACTCCCCAGGAGCTATCATTTGTTGACTTCTGTAACCGTAAAAGCATTGGATTTTTGCATGTTAACATCAGAAGCCTCCTCCCTAAGTTTGAGTTATTCACTGCGTTAGCACACTCCGCCAACCCTGATGTTCTAGCAGTGTCTGAATCCTGGCTTAGGAAGGCCACCAAGAATTCAGAAATGTCCATCCCCATGTCCAACATTTTCCGTCTAGATAGAACTGCCAAAGGGGGTGGAGTTGCAATCTACTGTAGAGATAGCCTGCAGAGCTCTATCATACTATCCAGGTCTGTGCCCAAAGAGTTTGAGCTTCTACTTCTAAAAATCCACCTTTCCAGAAATAAGTCTCTCACTGTTGCCGCTTGCTACAGCCCCCCCTCAGCCCCCAGCTGTGCCCTGGACACCATATGTGAATTGATTGCCCCCCATCTATCCTCAGAGTTCGTACTGCTTGGTGACCTAAACTGGGATATGCTTAATACACCGGCCATCCTACAATCCAAACTAGATGCCCTCAATCACACACAAATTATCAAGGAACCTACCAGGTACAACCCTAAATCCGTAAACATGGGCACCCTTATAGATATCATCCTGACTAACTTACCCTCTAAATACACCTCCGTTGTCTTCAACCAGGATCTAAGTGATCACTGCCTTATTGCCTGCGTCTGTAACAGGTCCGCGGTCAAACGACCACCCCTCATCACTGTCAAACGCTCCCTAAAACACTTTAGCGAGCAGACCCTCCTAATTGACCTGGCCCAGGTATCCTGGATGGATATCAATCTCATTCCGTCAGTAGAGGATGCCTGGTTGTTCTTTAAAAGTGCTTTCCTCTCCATCTTAAATAAGCATGCCCCATTCAAAAAATTCAGAACTAAGAACAGATATAGCCCCTGGTTCTCCTCCGACTTGACTGCCCTTGACCAGCACAAAAACATCCTGTGGCGCACGGCATTAGCATCGAATAGCCCCCGCGATATGCAACTTTTCAGGGAAGTTAGGAACCAATATACATAAGCAGTTAGGAAAGCAAAGGCTAGCTTTTTCAAACAGAAATTTGCATCCTGTTGCACTAACTCCAAAAAGTTTGGGCACCTCCTCCCAGCTGCCCACTGCACTGAGGCTAGGAAACACTATCACCACTGATAAATCTACAATAATCAAGAATTTCAACAAGCATTTTGCTACGGCTGGCCATGCTTTCCACCTGGCTACCACTACCCCGGTCACCAGCTCTGCACCCTCCGCTGCAACCAAACCAAGCCATTCCTTCCAGTTCTCTGCTGCCAATGACTGGAACGAACAGCAAAAATCTCTGAAGCTGGAGACTCTGATCTCCCTCACTAACTTTAAGCATCAGTTGTCAGAGCACCTTACCGATCACTGCACCTGTACACAGCCCATCTGAAATTAGCCCAATTAACTACCTCATCCCCATATTGTTATTTATTTTGCTAATTTGCACCCCAGTATCTCTATTTGCACATCATCTTTTGCACATCTATCATTCCAGTGTTAATACTAATTGTAATTATTTTGCACTATGGCCTATTTATTGCCTTACCTCCATAACTTGCTACATTTGCACACACTGTATATATATTTTCTGTTGTATTTTTGACTTTGTTTGTTTTACCCCATATGTAACTATGTGTTGTTGTTTTTATCGCACTGCTTTGCTTTATCTTGGCCAGGTCGCAGTTGTAAATGAGAACTTGTTCTCAACTGGCTTAACTGGTTAAATAAAGGTAAAAAAAAAAAAAAAAAAAGGTTCCTGCCTTTCTAGGGAGTTTTCCTAGCCACCGTGCTTCTACATCTGCATTGCTTGCTGCTTGGGGTTTTAGGCTGGGTTTCTGTATAGCACTTTGTGACATCTGCTGATGTAAAAAGTGCTTTATAAATACATTTGATTGATTGACTTATTCCACATTTTGATGTGTTACAGCCTGAATTCAAAATTGATTAAATATATTTTTTGTCCTCATCCATCTACACACCCACACACAATACCCCATAATGACAAAGTAACATAAATAAAATATTTGCTAATTTATAGAAAATTAAATACAGAAATCTTATTTACATAACTATTCACACCCTGAGTCAATACATGTACATGTTAGAATCACCTGTGGCAGCGATTACAGCAGTGAGTCTTTCTGGGTAAGTCTCTAAGAGCTTTGTTCACCTGGATTGTACAATATTTGCGCATTATTCTTTTAAAATTCTTCAAGACGATTTATGACAAAACCTATAACTAGGCCACTCAGGAACATTCATTGTCTTCTTGGTAAGCAACTCCAGTTCAGATTTTGGCTTTGTGTTGTAGGTTGAGTGTCTGGTGGAAAGCAGAAAGAACCAGGTTTTCCTCTAGGATTTTGCCTGTGCTTAGCTCCATTCCATTTCTTTGTATCCTAAAAAAGTCTCTAGTCCTTGCCGATTACAAGCATGCCCATAACATGATGCAGTGGCACTGTAAGAACTGTAAAGCTGCTGGGTTTTTCACGCCCAACAGTTTCCTGTGTGTATCAAGAATGGTCCACCACCCAAAGGACATCCAGCCAACTAGACACAACTGTGGGAAGCATTGGAGTCAACATGAGCCTGCATCCCTGTGGAACGCTTTCGACCCCTTGTAGAGTCCATGCCCCGACGAATTGATGCTATTCTGAGGGCAAAAGGGGGTGTTGCAACTAATCATGTTAATGTTTTGTACACTCAGTGTATATTTGTAAACAATCTTTGAGAACTAACAACCACCAGAATGAAAACTAGACAGTCAGTGAGAATAAAACATTTTTAAAATGTCATGACATTGGGCTCCCATTGATGTTGTTATAATGTTTGAGTCACTCAGATAGCATGAGAACAATTTTTTTGTTGTTGTTGAAATTGCAGGAAATTATCTTTAAAACTAACCAAAAAGAATATCTGCGGCCAAGAGGAAGGCCACTGGCCACGCCATCACCCCCCCCAAACCGACCTTAATTTTGCCACAGCTGCTGAAAAGAATCCTAGGAGAAACACTGATATCAAATACTTTTAAACACTTGAGCTGCACTTGATACAGTTAGTCTGGTACAATGGAGCATATTAAATAAATGGAATAATCCCGAAAGTGCAAAGCAAATTTAAAGCGCACCTCAGACAATTTCAAGTATTTGACATATTCGACCAGTGTCTGAAAGTAATCATTAGTAATCTACCGCAGGTAGACGTAAAGCGCTTTGAGCATCTGGAAAAACGCTATATAACTTCAATCAACACACACACAAACGCACAATTTATTATTAGGAGACCCACCTGAGCAGGCTATTGATGGAGGAGGTGCCGCGGTCGATGCTACGCAGGACGTCCCCGGTGCGCCGGCCCAGGTGCCAGCGCAGCGACAATGAGTGCAGGTGGCCGAACAGACGCACCTGCACCACCCGGTTGGTGTACTGCTGCACGCGGATCCACAGGAAGGAGCGCAGGTTACTGACGAAGCCGGACGCACCTAGAGAGAGAGTAAGGTACAGGAAAGAGAAGAAGAGAGAGAGGGAGAAGGGGGGAGGGTAAGAGTGGGGTTGGGGAGAGTAGAGAGAGGGGGGAAGGAGAAAGGGGAGCGGAGATATAGAGAGCGAGGGAACAAGAGAGATAATTAAAATAACAGTACTCAAGGAGTCCAAGGAATGGGTGTAGCAGAGAAAGACAATATGGAGGTGAAATTCCCACTCACCCAGGGCTCTAAATTATTTATATATTTTTTAATTGGTAGCACTGGTGTTCCCAACTTAAAAAAGTTAGGAGCACCACATGAAATTTAGGAGCACCAGAAAATACGATTTTTAAAAAATTGATTAATATACAGCCTATATTGGGCCTATATGAATTATAGCTACTTTCGAAGCACATGTTGTGCCCTATAAACTAACATGTAACACTGTAAATACACTAGTTTATTATAAAAGCTAAAACGTTGATACAAATACCTGTCATTGAAATTACAAAGTCATCTGTGGAATATTAGGTTTCTACATTGTGTAAAAGCACTATTTTCCTATTGAGAGAGAAGGGTGTAATTGCAGACCGCAATTAGGGGCGTTTTCTGATATAGGCGTTTCTTGATATCACGATGCTCACCATTGGTCCGTGGCCATTTCTTTCGCGTCGGGACAACAGTTGTTGACAACTGTAGCATTGTAGCTAAGCCTAACCCTTTTCCTAACTTTAACCTCATTCTCCTAACCTGCCACACTAATTCACCTGACACGTTAATAATCCTAACCTGCCACGTTACTGATCCTAACCTGCCACGTTAATGATCCTAACCTGCCAAGTTAATGATCCTAACCTGCCACGTTAATGATCCTAACCTGCTATGTAAACAAATCATATTTGTCGAGAAACCATCCGTCTCGTAACACCAGAATTGACCAATGGCAGGCACCAATGGACGTTTCCTGATATCAAGGAATGACCACATCAGGAAACGCCCCAAATTGCGGTCTGCAAATACACCATATTGTTTGAGATGCATTAGATAAAACATTTTACACTGTCTCTTTAAAAGGTCAGGTTTGTGATGATGAAATGCAAGATATCTGTCATTCATTCATTGCTATGTTCATTGATCTCCTGAAGAAGCTGTCCCTTTTCCTTTCTTTCTGTGCCCCCAAATGTTTGGATATACTGGTCAAGTTACCAGGTTGTTAGCTAGCTAGCCAATGCAGTAACATGACTGAACAAAGTGTCAACAAATGGTTAACGCGCGAGTAGTTTTAGAACAACCCACAACATGGTTTATGAATGTAAAATGTCGTCCCAGCTTTTCACTATAGGAAGATAAAAATGTTGCGCCAGTAATATGGGTCAGATCTTTTGACCTGGTTGGGCTGGAAGCAAGCAGCTTTCGCTGGTAGAAATGGTGCAACGATGACGCTAACGAATCTCCACTCGCTTGTTTCACTAGGGCACTCGGAAACAACGGTACGGCGAAGCCTTATCATTACAACCAAAATAAAACTCCTAGTCGCACAGCAAAATATTATTGACAAAATTGGTCGCACTTTAGAACCCTGCACTCACCTGCCCCTCCACCTTGCAGGAACTTGAGCAAGACGTAGACACACACAGTGGTGGCCAAGGTCGTCCAGCTGCTTCCATCAGTCAGCTCATTCACTGTGAGTGTGTGAGAGAGAGAGAGAGAGAGAGAGAGAGAGGTTTTGAAAAGGGTTGACAGTCCCAGGTCATCTTTTCTACAGTTTTGCTGGGCAGGTTATCAGATGTCAGCCACAATGATATCCTAAAAAACTTCTGAGAATGTGCAGCGCAGCACCAATAAAGACAACCTGCAACGCAACCAATAAGGCTATGACAGCAACAAGTAGGAATTTAAAAAGGCATCCAGATAAAAGCTGGATCTAGGGGAGATGTTGTGAAACAAGGGATGCTCTCTCACCGATGTTCTTGTAGTAGATGGGCACAAATACATTGATGACCCTCTCCAGACCCAGCAGGCACAGGCAGAGGAGCACCAGGCCCTGTAACAGCATGCTGCCTTTGGGCCACATGTAGGGCACCAGCAGACGCACCTTCTGCCCAAAGTCCTGCCAGGTAGACAGGGATTCCTCTGCCCCATCCAACAGAGGCTGGGGTACAGATAAGAGATATTAGGGGTTATTATGGGCATACATATGCAGACCTACTGTAGAGGCATGTCGTGAACTTAATAAATATAGACAGACAGTATAGACTCATTACAAACTACTGTACGTTACATACCCAATCACACTGAAAATATATATATTGGATATTGTACACACATAAACAACAACAAAAAAGGTTGTGGCCGGGGACTTTAATGCAGGCAAACTTAAATTGGTTTTAGCTCATTTCTACCAGCATGTCACATGTGCAACCAGAGGGGAAAAAACTCTAGACCACCTTTATTTCACACACAGAGACGCGTACAAAGCTCTCCCTCAATTTGGCAAATCTGACCATAATTCTATCCTCCTGATTCCTGCTTACAAGCAAAAACTAAAGCAGGAAGTACCAGTGACTCGCTCAATACGGAAGTGGTCAGATGACGTGGATGCTAAGCTACAGGACTGTTTTGCTAGCACAGACTGGAATATGTTCCGGGATTCATCCAATGGCATTGAGGAGTATATCACCTCCGTCACTGGCTTCATCAATAAGTGCATCGATGATGTCGTCCCCACAGTGACCGTACGTACATATCCCAACCAGAAGCCATGGAGTTGCCGCTTTCAAGGAGCGGGACACTAATCCGGACGCTTATAAGAAATCCTGCTATGCCCTCAGACAAACCATCAAACAGGCAAAGCGTCAATACAGGACTAAGATTGAATCCTACCTTACCAGCTCTGATGCTCGTCGGATGTGGCAGAGCTTACAAACTATTACGGACTACAAAGGGAAACCCAGCCGCGAGCTGCCCAGTGACGAGAGCCTAACAGACAGGCTAAATGCCTTTTATGCTCGCTTCGAGGCAAGCAACACTGAAGCAGGCATGAGAGCACCAGCTGTTCCGAATGACTGTGAGATCACGCTCTCCGTAGCCGATGTGAGCAAGACCTTTAAACAGGTCAACATTCACAAGGCCGTGGGGCCAGACAGATTACCAGGATGTGTACTCAGAGCATGCGCGGACCAACTGGCAAGTGTCTTCACAGACATTTTCAACCTCTCCCTGACCGAGTCTGTAATACCTACATGTTTCAAGCAGATCACCATAGTCCCTGTGCCCAAGAACTTCAAGGTAACCTGCCTAAATGATTACCGCCCAGTAGCACCCACGTCGGTAGCCATGAAGTGCTTTGAAAGGCTGGTCATGGCTCACATCAACACCATCATCCCAGAAACCCTAGACCCACTCCAATTCGCATACCGCCCCAACAGATTCCACAGATGATGCAATCTCAATTGCACTCCACACTTTCCCACCTGGACAAAAGGAACACCTATGTGAGAATGCTGTTCATTGACTACAGCTCAGTGTTCAACACCATAGTGCCCACAAAGCTCATCACTAAGCTAAGGACCCTGGGACAAAACACCTCCCTCTGCAACTGGATCCTGGACTTCCTGATGGGCTTGCCCCCAGTTGGTAAGGGTAGGCAACAACACATCTGCCACGCTGATCCTCAACACGGGTCCCCTCAGGGGTGCATTCTTAGTCCCCTCCTGTACTCCCCGTTCACCCACGATTGCGTGGCCAAGCACAACTCCAACACCATCATTACGTTTTCTGACGACACAATGGTGGTAGGCCTGATCACCGACAACGATGAGACAGCCTATAGGGAGGAGGTCAGAGACCTGGCAGTGTGGTGCCAGGACAACAACCTCTCCCTCAACGTGAGCAAGACAAAGGAGCTGATCGTGGACTACAGGAAAAGGAGGGCCAAACACGCCCCCATTCACATCGACAGGGCTGTGGTGGAGTGGGTCGAGAGCTTCAAGTTCCTTGGTGTCCACATCACCAACAAACTATCATGGTCCAAACACACCAAGACAGTCGTGAAGAGTGCATGACAATGCCTATTCCCCCTCAGGAGACTGAAAAGATTTGGCATTGGTCCCCAGAATCTTAAACATTTCTACAGCTGCACCATTGAGAGCATCCTGACTGGTTGCATCGCCGCCTGGTATGACAACTGCTCGGCATCCGACCGTAAAGTGCTACAGAGGGTAGTGCATACTGTCCAGTTCATCACTGGGGCCAAGCTTCATGCCATCCAGGACTTCTATACTAGGCAAGTGTCAGAAGGCCCCAAAAAAAACTCCAGTCACCCAAGTCATAGACTGTTCTCTCTGCTACCGCACGGCAAGCGGTACCGGAGCGCTAAGTCTAGGTCCAAAAGGCTCCTTAACAGCTTCTACCCCCAAGTCATAAGACTGCTGAACAATTAATCAAATGGCTACCCGGACTATTTGCATTTTATTTATTTTTTACACTGAGGCTACTCGCTGTTTATTATTTATGAATAGTCACTTTACCCCTACCTACATGTACATATTACCTCAATTACATTTACATTTTAGTCATTTAGCAGACGCTCTTATCCAGAGCGACTTACAGTTAGTGAGTGCATACATATTTTCATACTGGCCCCCCGTGGGAAACGAACCCACAACCCTGGCGTTGCAAGCGCCATGCTCTACCAACTGAGCTACACGAGCTACTCGACTAACCTGTACCCACACACATTGACTCGGTACTGGTACCCCCTGTATTTAGCCTCGTTATTGTTATTTAATTATGTTACTTTTTATAAACTTTTGTTTATTTAGTAAATATTTTCTTAACTCTTTTTTCTTAAAACGGCATTGTTGGTTAAGGGCTTGTAAGTAAGCATTTCACGGTAAGGTCTACACCTGTTGTATGCGGCGCATGTGACAAATTACATATTATTTTATTTTATTACTAGGTTACCTGGCCAGTGCTGCCCTCCACGTCACGTTCGTCCTCGTTGATCAGGAGCATGTACGGTCTCCGTGGTAAACCCGGAGCCTTCAGGCCCAGGAAGAAGAGTGTTCCCGTGCCGACGTAGCGCATCAACCAAAGAGAAAATTCCACCTGAGGTAATGAATGAAAAATGCTAAGTCATGACTGAACCTTAAAGGGGAAATCTGCAGTTTTGGTAAAAAGCTGAGGGAATGGCCTGGTGAAATGGAACCACTCTCAAATACATAGACAGAGCTATGGATGCAAGGACTGACCATCCATGATATCAAAATTATAGCTTTAACCATGTTTTGAGGCTATACACTGTTTGTTTACATTTACAATGTTTATATTAAAGTAAAACAAGCTTATATTTTGGGTTGTGATGGGGTGTGACAGTTGAACTAAGCTCTTGAGGTATTTATAAGTTATAATCTTCAAGAATCAATGGGTATATATCATTAGTCCAAAAATGGATGTAGCAATTGCAGATTGACTCTTTAAAGGAATACTACACTCATAAACTATATTTTAGTATGTTGTCCACTGTTAATTCAATTCCAATGGGTACTCTTAATACAATCCCATCACAATCCCAAATGGTGCATGTCAGCAGTCAAAATGTTTTATTTTTTGAGTGTAGTATTCCTGCTGACTGACAAGCATAACTGCATAAAACACAGAAAAACCATATTTCAATACTTCATTCAACACATAACATTTGTCTTACATTTACATTTGAGTAATTTAGCAGACACTCTTATCCAGAGTGATTTACATGGTTAAGTGCCTTGCTCAAGGGCACATTGACAGATTTTTTCACCTAGTCTGCTCTGGGATTCAAACTAGCGACCTTTCGGTTACTGGTCCAACGCTCTTAAACGGTGGTCTACCTGCTGCCCCAACTTCAATGTGAGGCCGAGGCTATCATTCAAAAAGTCATTTACTCAGGAGTTGTTGGATCATTCAGGATTGGAGGAGAGGTGAGTCAGTGGTTACAGTCAGACTAACTGTACAAAGTAAACTACTGTACACATTATGACACAAAGTAACCAGTGGACTGTGTCATATACTTTGTGGCATAACAACCCATTGGAAGAGCTAAGATGGTGAAAGCTTGGTAAAAAGCTAATGAAGATGCATTCAGAACGCATTAGTTGAATACAACTGGGAGACATACTAAACAGCCATACCTCAAGACTTGTACAACCTAAAGTCATGCTGAGTGGGACGACCAATGACAGCCACTGGGAGGGGCTAAGAAAAGGTGTGATCTGATTAGTTACAAAATGTATATTTGGGGGCGTGGCCAGAGGGAGAGGGATGTAGACGGCAAGATGGGGCAATGACTCAGCACTTCTAGAGTTACTCAAAGCTGACTAATGATCATGGCTCCTCCCCCTTCCACTGCTGTGTCATGGTTGGAATGCCAGTTTCTATTTTAGCAGTCTTCTTGTGAGAAACTGCTTTGTAATAGATTTTTTTTTTTTTACAATCACAACAGTCATGACGAAATGGGATTTAGAGGTTATTAAGTAGGTACTTAGGGTTGATAAGAAACATTAAACCTAGCCTATGTGTCCCATTTACACAGATACAGTATCACACCCTATGAGTAGACTGAGGTTGTTAAAATGTTGACATATAATGTTACTGGCTATTAGCATTAAACTTAACATTGCGTTTCCACACTCCATTACACAAGTGTAGTAGTGGGCTTTCTTAAAAGTAAGTCAGTCTACTCATAGGGTGTGATACTGTATCTGTGTAAATGGGACAAATAGGCTTGGTGAAACAACCGCAATGAAACTAGGGAGTGGGATGGCACTTCTTCCTCACTTAAGTTTGAGCTGTGGGGGTTCATTCAAAGAGGTGAAACGTTTGAAGTGATGCAGATAGAAACGCAAGGAATAGATCTAGCACCATTTCCAACTTAACCTGACAAACATGTTTATTCTACACCAATACATTTTATCTGACGGTCCTCTAATGCTACACCCTCCTGAACAGACCCCAGTGCCACGTTCAATAGGTTGTGGAACATTCAGATAGAAATACATTATGTAGAACAGACGTGTCTATTTGAGTGATATGTAGAGTGAGGAATCACGTCAGCTCTATTGGGGACATTCTACAATGTTACACCCTCCTCAACAATACCCCTGGTCCTATCTCACTTGCTGCTGTGTGTTCTCCAGGCCCCACCACCAGTAGGGGCTGGCCCAGGAGACGAAGGCCAGGTTCTCCGCCGAAAATGCCACAGCCCAGAAGAGCAGCAGCACCGTGCTGTGGCCCCGCGTCCGGTCCCTCACCAGAACCCTCCTCCTCTCCAGCCTTAGCAGGGCCACGGCCCAGACCCAGCCCAGCATGGACAGGCAGCCGTACAGCACCACGTAGCCAGGGAGTTCCCCTACCCCGCCTCCACCAGTCGCCCTCCACACCAGCCCCCCCAGGAACTGCAGCAGGAGGAGCAGGGAGACTGCCAGTTGGAGGCCATAGAGGCGCGAGCGCGGTATGAACTTGGGCTCCATCTCGGTGCCGTAGCGGCGGTAGCAGACGCAGTGGAAGGTGCCGAAGAAGAAGGAGAGGGTAAGCAGGACGGTGGGCACCAGGGTGAAGTAGAAGCAGGGTGAGATGCCGCCCTCCAGCCAGGCTTCGGAGATGGAAGCGCTGGCCTCACAGTAGCTTTGCACTGCCACCATGGTGGCTGGGAGCTGGGGAGACAGGGAGGGGGAAAGAGAGTACTCACTATTACAGACATATTACTACCACATTAGGCCTACACATAGGGCTCAAGATCATCAGCCTGGTCCACATGGATGTTAAGAGATTTTAAAAAGGCAGGACAGGCAAAGGAAATCATACAGTAGACTGCATGAAATTAGTTTTCAAAAATACATTCTGCACAGTATTTTCAGATTTGCACCGGACCTTATTTGTGTCCTATTATAAACTGCTATTCATGATGACATTCAACTAGTCTAACTTCTTCCATTGATAACTACACCAGCAGCGATCAAAAGTGAAGTTAGTCAACACAATGAACACATGTTCATTATTTTGCAGGACAAACATGCTATCAGGCTCAAGAGTTTATTGAATCTCCTTGAGGTGTATGTTGTACTATGAAGCAAAACACAACAAGCATCTCTTCCTAGTCTATAATCATTCAACAGACTTGAATAGGCCTAAGAGATCCAGGCCAGCCCTGCTATATCGGGCTGTGAACTTTAGGATATGGTTAGTGCTTCAGTCATGGCTCCTAACAGCACCCCAGCCAGTCAGGCGAATCCACAACCCATAGTGTCATCTGGAGTGGGCAGTGGACCACTTATAATTCAGTCAAGGCACTTAAGACACTAAAGACAACCAAAACACATCACATTTCATCAACTGATATTCATTAAAAATATCACACCAGCATTAGGTTACAGTGATATGCCGACACATGTCTAATGTACCATGGAGTAGCTTGGCATGTTGGAACGAAGCCCTCACAAGCTCACAAGTTCAGAGAGAGGTCAGACTGCACGTTGTAATTTCAACCAATAAAATGATTCATTTGGATGTATATGATCTTAATTAAAGAACAACTGTACCTTATTATCATAACTCCCCAAAAACTATTAACCGCTAACGTTATTACTCCATTGTTTATGTTTTCGTTGTCATATGACATATAACTTTGTAAACAAATGATTCAGATGATGTTTTACAAAAAAGTTGTTGCTCTCATGGAATTTCATGAGCACTACAAATATTATCATAGGAATCAAGACGCATTTGCCCCAGTGGAATTGTTTAGACTATGTGTTTATAGGTGGCCCACTCTTTGACAGACAGGGCCTATTTAAACAACGTGGCAACGACGACGACTGAGCGTCAGGCTAACCTTAGCAGTAAAGTTTTTCTCTAGCTACCATTTGTGGAGTAATCTATCTGACCTATCAAGATAGCTAGCTAAGATCTGTTGCTGTCATTACAACACTCACCTTCTCAGGACAAACTGGTGCTGGAAAGCGATTTAGTGAATTGAAGCATCCAACAAATAAACCGTTTTACGCGAAGAGATATTAGAAGTCGATGCCTCCAAAAATAACAATAATGCTCATCTTGTTGTATCAACTTGTAAATTGTCCTTATTCTTCTTGCGGCATGCATGTAGCGAAGTAATCCATGACTCGGCAATCGACACTTTCTTACAAAACAATACTGCCTGAACCGGGTCCTAGCGCACCCATGTCTCACACGCATGTTCAAAACTAATGTTATGCAATCTCATATATGGCCAGTAGATGACAGTATATACAAAGACATCATACCTCACACCAAAATGCCATCTGAACGCTGGGTCTCATCATACAGTCAGTCAGTATACCAAAATCTTAGCTACAGAAGATTAAAATGGATGAGAAAATACATGTGGCCTCCCGAGTGGCGCAGCGTTCTAAGGCACTGCATCACAGTGCTTGAGGCGTCACTACAGACTGTGTTATAACCAGCAGTGACAGGGAGTCCCATAGGGCGGAGCACAATTGGCCCAGAGTCGTCCGGGTTTGGCAGGTGGGGCTTTACTTGGCTCATCGCACTCTAGCGTCTCCTTGTGGTAGGCCGAGCGCCTGCTGACTTCGGTCGTAAATTGAACAGTGTCTCCTCCGACACGTTGGTGCAGCTGGCTTCCGGGTTAAGCTTGCGGGTGTTAAGAAGTGCGGTTAGGCAGGTCATGTTTCGGAGGACTCATGACTCGACCTTCGTCTCTCCCGAGCCCGTTGGGGAGTTGCAACGATGAGACAAGATCACAATTGGATATCACTAAATTGGGGGGAAAAAAGGGGGTAAAATACACAAAATAACAAACTAAAAAAATACATTTGATCATTCCTACAAGTCCTATCAAAATGAGGAGTAGCAATTTCAATGCATTACAAATCAAATTGTATTTGTCATATGCTTTGTAAACAACATGTGCAGACAAACAGCGAAATGTTTACTTACTGGCCCCTCCCAACAATGCAGAGAGAAGGAAAATAGAGAAATAATATAAAAGTAATAATAAATAGACAATGAGTAGCGATAACTTGGCTATATACTGTACACAGGGTACCAGTACTGAATTGATGTGCAGGGGCACGAGGTAATTGAGATAGATATGTACATATAACTAGGAATAAAGTGACTAGTCAACAGGACAGATAATAAACAGTAGAAGCAGCGTATGTGATGAGTCAAAAAAGTGAGTTAAAAAGGGTCAATGCAGATAGTCCGGGTAGCTATTTTTAAAACTATTTAACTAACTATGTAGCATCCTTATGGCTTGGGGTAGAAGCTGTTCAGGGTCTTGTTGGTTCTAGACTTAGTGCATCGGTACTGCTTACCATGCGGTAGCAGAGAGAACAGTCTATGACTTGGGTGTCTGGAGTCTTTGCAAATTTTTAGGGCCTTCCTCTGACTCCGCCTGGTATAGAGGAACTGGATGGCAGGGAGCTTGGCCTACCCTCTGATGCCAAGCAGTTGTCATACCAAGCAATGATGTAGCCATTCAAGATGCTCTCAATTGAGGATCTGAGGGACCATGACAAATCTTTTCAGCCTCCTGAGGGCGAAGAGGTGTTGTCGTGCCCTCTTCACAACTGTGTTGGTGTGTATGGACCATGATAGATCCTTAGTGATGTGGACATCGAGGAACTTGAAGCTCTCGACCCGCTCCACTACAGTCCCTTCGATGTGAATGGGGGCGTGTTCGGCCCTCCTTTTCCTGTAGTCCACAATCAGCTCCTTTGTCTTGCTCACGTTGAGGGAGAGGTTGTTGTCCTGGCACCACACTGCCAGGGCTCTGACCTCCTCCCTATAAGCGGTCTCATCGTCATCGGTGATCAGCACTCTTAATGATGGTGTTTGAGTTGTGCGCGGCCACGCAGTCGTGGGTGAACAGGGAGTGCAGGAAAGGACTAAGCCACACCCCTGAGTGGCCCCAGTGTTGAGGATCAGCGTGGCAGATGTGTTGTTGCCTACCCTCACCACCTGGGGGCGGCCCGTCAGGAAGTCTAGGATCTAGTTGCAGAGGGAGGTGTTCAGTCCCAGGGTCCTTACCTTAGTGATGAACTTGTAGGGCATTGTGGTATTGAACGCTGAGCTGTAGTCAATGATAAGCATTCTCACATAGGTGTTCCTCTTGTCCAGGTGGGAGAGGGCAGTGTGGATCTGTTCGGGCGGTATGCGAACTGGAGTGGGTCCAGGGTGTCTAGCATAGTGGTGTTGATGTGTGCCATGACCAGCCTTTCAAAGCCTTTTTATGAATACAGATGTGAGTACTAGTTACAGTGCTGTGAAAAAGTATTTGCCCACTTTCTAATTTTCCTTACTTTTGCATGTTTTTTATACTGAATATTATCAGATCTTCAACCAAAACCTAGTATTAGATAAAGGAGAGCTGAGTTAACAAAGAACAACAATTACATACATATTTCATTTATTTCATGAACAAAGTCATGCAACACCCAATGCCCTTGTGTGAAAAAGTAATTGCCCCCTTACACTCAGTAACTGGTTGTGCCACCTTTAGCTGCAATGACTCCAACCAAACGCTTCCTGTAGTTGTTGATCAGTCTCTCACGTCGCTGTGGAGGAATTTTGGCCCACTCTTCCATGCAGAAATGCTTTAACTCAGTAACATTTGTGGGTTTGGTTTTTCACCAGGCATAATGGGACCCATGTCGTCCAGAAAGTTATACGTTTGACTCATCTGTCCATAGAACATTCTTCCAAGACTCTTGATGATCATCCAGGTGCTTCCAGGTGCTTTTTGGCAAACTTGAGTCAACTTTTTGGATGAGATGGGTCCCACTATGTCTTGCGAAAACCAAACACTGAATTCCACAGTAAGAACCTCATACCAACGGCAAGCATGGTGGTGATAATGTGATGGTTTGGGGATGCTTTGCTGCCTAAGGACCTGGACGACTTGCCTGAATTCTGTTCTGTATCAGAGAATTCTACCGGAGAATGTCAGCCATCCGTCTGTGAGCTGAAGCTGAAGCGCAGCTAGGTCATGCAGCAAGACAATGATCCAAAACACACAATCAAGTCTATATAGGCCTCTTGTAGCTCAGTTGGTAGAGCATGGCGCTTGCAACGCCAGGGTTGTGGGTTCGATTCCCACGGGGGTCCAGTATGAAAAATGTATGCACTCATTAACTGTAAGTCGCTCTGGATAAGAGCGTCTGCTAAATGACGTAAATATATGAAAATAGTTAAAAAGCAACAAATTTGAAGTTTTGGAACGACCTAGTCAAAGTTAAAATGAGTAGTTCATGCTTGACAACCCACAAATGTCACTGAGTTAAAGCAGTTCTGCATGCAAGAGTGGGCCAAAATTCCTCCACAGCGATGTGAGAGACTGATCAACAACTACAGGAAGCATTTGGTTGCAGTCATTGCAGCTAATGGTGGCACAACCAGTTATTGAGTGTAAGGGCAATTACTTTTTCACACAGGGGAATTGGGTGTTGCATAACTTTGTTAATTAAATAAATAAATAAAGTATACTTTTTGTGGGTTATTTGTAAACTCAGGTTCCCTGTATCTAATATTTGGTTTTGTTTGAAGATCTGATAACATTCAGTATGAAAAATATGCAAAAATAAAGAAAATCAGAAAAGGGGCAAATACTTTTCACGATACTGTATTTAGACAGGTTACCTTGGCATTCTTGGGCACAGGGACTATGGTGGTTTGCTTGAAACATGTAGGTATTACAGGGTCAGGGAGAGGTTGAAAATGTCAGTGAAGACACTTGCCAGCTGGTCAGCGCATGCTCTGAGTACGTGTCCTGGTAATCGTTCTAAATGTTAACCTGTTGAAAGGTCTTACTCACATCGGCTACAGAGAGCACGATCACGCAGTCATCTGGAACAGCTGGTGCTCTTATGCATGGTTCAGTGTTGCTTGCCTCGAAGCGAGCATAGAAGGCATTTAGCTCGTCTGGTAGGCTTGCGTCAATGGGCAGCTGGTGGCTTGTTTTACCTTTGTAATCTGTGATAGTTTGCATGCACTGCCAAATCCGACGAGCGTCAGAGCCAGCGTAATAGGATTCGATCTTAGTCCTGTATTGACACTTTGCCTGTTTGATGGGATTTCTTATAAGCATCCAGGTGAGTGTCCTGCTCCTTGAAAGCAGCAGCTCTAGCCTTTAGCTCAGTGCGGATGTTGCCTGTAATCCATGGCTTCTGGTTGGGATAAGTACGTACGGTCAGTGTGGGGATGACGTCGTCGATGCACTTATTAATGAAGCCAGTGACTGATGTGGTAAACTCCTCAATGCCATCGGATAAATCCCGGAACATATTCCAGTCTGTGCTAGCGAAACAGTCATGTAGCTTAGCATCTTCATCAGACCACTTCCGTATTGAGCTGGTACTTCCTATTCAGATTTGCAAAATGGAGGGCGAGGGAGAGCTTTGTATGCGTTTTTGTGTGTGGA